ACAGTGGTAGTTTATTGGAGTTATATTTGGTTGCAGAAAGGTGGAAAAAATTCTAAGGAACAGTATTGACAAAGAGTTAGAGTTTTCAGAGCAACCCCTTCACACAACTCCATTCATATCACAGTCAGTATAAGTTGTGCAGTGCACAGCTGTATGGCCATTTTTTTTTATTGTAGCATTAGAATTTCCCAATTCCAAAATACATAGATGAGTACTGAGCCTTATGTGCCAGATGATCTTAATTTACTAAATAGATTATCTTAGTTTACTAAATTGGGCCACACATCTCAGGAGTCATTCTGGATTCCTCTCTTCCCCTGCCTTACCCTGAACTCAATAGCAAATCCTGTATTTGACTTATGAAGTGTGATGTGAATCTGATCACTGCTCAGCAGCTCCTCTGCTACCACCTTAGGCCAAGTCTGCCTCAACCATCTCTTGGAGGATCTTAGTAGGCTCTCTGAACTCTATACCTGCTACCACTCTTGTCCTGCCCAGCAGCCAAAGTGTTCTTTGAAAAAATGTAAGTCAGATCATGCCACTCATCTACTTGAAACCCTCCAGGCACTTTCCTTCACACTTCAAATATGATGCAACCTGCTAAGACAGCTTACATGATCTTATCCCATTTTCTGCTTCTCTAATTCAATATCCTCGTTCCACCTTCTTTGTTCCTTGTGCTCTGGCCACATGAGCCACTTGACTAACCCTGAAGGTCTTCAGATCTATTTCTTCTCTGGCATCTTTGCACTTGCTCTTCTCTTTTTTTGGAATGCTTTTCTCCTTGATCAAATGTCTTTCCATCTTATCATTTTTGATCAAGTGTCACCTCCTCAGAGATGACAGCTATATCTGAAGTAGCTTTCCCACTGAAACCCAGTCACTCATTATCCCCTTAACCAGCTTTATTTTTCTTCAAAGTACTGACTTATTGTTTACTCATAGGTTTACTTATTGTCTATGTCCATGGATAGCATATAAACCTTATGAAGACAGGGACTTTGTCTTGCTCTCTCTTTTCCCTCTATATGTAGAACAATTCCTAGCACACAGTAGGTACATAATAAGTGTTTATAAATAAGTGCTCAATAAATTTAATTCTCAGAGCAGGGATTCTCAAAGTATGGCCCTGGGCCATTAGCATCCGCATCAATTTAGAAAGTGTTACAATGGCAAATTCTCAGTTTGTAACCTGGAATTACTAACTCAAAAGCATGGGCAGAGGAGGCCAGCCATCAGTGTTTTAACAAGCTCACCAGGGGATTCTGATGCATACTCAAGTTCAAAAACCACTGCCTTAAAACAAGCATGCGCAATAGTATTAGGCCTGTTATACAACTAAGAAATTTTGGAGAGGTGACATAGTCCAGACCACTTAAAGAAGAAAAAGCATTTATTACCAAGTGTCGCATTGTAAGCATTCAATAAAAAATAATAATAGTATTCACAATGGAATTGTTACCTCCTATGTGTCAGGGGCTATATTTAATCTTCACAGTAATTTTGTTCCATGGGTGTAAATGTGTCCATTGTTAAATTTACTGACAGTTTAAGGCTCAGACAGTTTAAGTCAACCAGAATGACCCAGTAAGCCAGACACAGAAAGGTCTGCTTGCTTGCTTGCTTGCTTCCTTTTTTTTTTTTTTTTAAAGAGATCTAACTAAGGACAGATCACTGATGTGACAGCAGATATGCAAAGAAAATACATTTGGCATTTTCTGAAACAAATGCCAAGTTTCCACACTTGGAAGTGACGAATGGTAGGTCTTGATATCAAGGGAACTCTTGGAAAGGGAAGCAGATGCCCTTTCAGCCTAGTGGCTTCTACTCAAGAGACACTGGCCCAAACTGACCTTGGAAAGCCCCAACTTCTTCCCCCTTAGAAACAGGCTGTGTGGCACTTTGGGCAAGGGTGACAAAAGCTTGGCTGGGGCACCAGGAAGCATGAATAATCGTGGACTCAGCAAATCACATGGGCTCCTCTGTCTTCATGGAAGAGAACTGACATTTGATGGTGATGGAGAAAAAGATGATGGGGATATATAAACATATATACTTCTGAAGTTAAGTCACAGTTGTTCTTGGAACTGCTCATCCTGAATACATACAGACAAAACCCCAAACAGCAAACCCCTAAAATCCTGTTATAGCTGTCTAGTCGATTCAACCATGAATTTAAAAATAAAATTGCATTTTACCTTTTTTGATTGATTAGAGAGAGAGAGATAGAAACATCAATGATGAGAGAGAATCATTGATTAACTGCCTCCTGTACATCACTGGGGATCGAGCCTGCAAACCCGGGCATGTGCCCTTACCTGGAATCGAACTTGGGACCCTTCAGTTGGCAAAGGGTCACTGAGCCAAATCGGCTAGGGCTAACCATGAATATTGATGGGAAAATTACATCAACTGGCCTTTCCATTTCCTCCTTATTCTTTTCTTTGTTTTGGGTTTTCATAGCAACACAAATCCATTTCCCACTTCAATATATATATATATATATATATATATATATATATATATATATATATATATATATGCCTAAGCAACCATCCAACCATCTGATTGGTAGCTATGACGCACACTGACCAACAGGGGCAGTCATTCAATGCAGGAGCTGCTAAGCTGCAGTTCTCGGGTGATGGATCCAGAACCAGAGAAGAGGGAGCCCAATTCAGGGGTGCGTCACCTGAGAACCACCCTCTTACAATCCAGGACCCCTCAAAGGATGTCGGAGAGCTGGTTTTGGCTCAACCCCCACAGGCCAGGCCAAGGGACCCCACCAGGGCACAAATTTGTGCACCAGGCCTCTAGTTTTTTAATAATATGGAAGTAAGCCTTCATGGGATAAATATGCTTTTAATTCTACAATGTAAATAAGACCAGTGTTGAATTAATCTCCACTTAAAGTTGGTATCTTTACAGATGTGTACTTATGTTTGGAGGATTTTCCAAGGATCTTACATTGCTCATAGACTGCTATTGGCCTAGAATCTAAGGACTAAATGGCATAGGACATGTGGACTTATAGAAAGCAAAGCCACTGTGTTAGGAGTTATAAAAAAAAAAGGGGGGTGGGGGTGGAAATACGTGTTTTCAGTTCCTACTCAATATTTAGCATATTGTAGACAATTTAAAAATCTATATGGAATGAGTATTTAGATGGTGGATGTGCAATAGGTATTCAGCAAATATTCTTTGGTTGGATAAAGGACAGAAGAAAGAAAGGACCCTTGCTGTATCTAGCATGTAATAGGCATTCAATGCGCATTTCTTGATTATGTAAGTACTATCAAGAGCCTCAGTGCATGTCCAATGAATGTTTGAGCAAATGCTTGGCATGTTGCAGGCAATCAAAGAATGACACCAAGATGAATAAGCAGTCATATGTCCTGCCACACAAATGACATCTGCAAAGTAATGGAAAAACACTGAACCACCTCCTGAGAGCAGGGTTCTTGGAACATGTCCTTTTTTTTTTAGCAGGTCTCTATGAATTCCATAGCATCACCAAAACCTTGAGCTGTTTGTTTATGTGACAATGACTTTGTTTCTTTTCTCACCGCTTCTCCAAGGCACACAGACACATATTTATGCAAACTCACTCATTAAGGCAAGGGTACAATTTAGGCTTCTGACATGTAACACTCATTAAAGCCACTAGAAAAGTCTTCCCCAAATGCCCAAAGAATGGTTCTGTTTACCACCTGGATCCACTGTGTTGGCCCTCATGGCAGAGCTCCGATATGTTTGGTGCTGTCAGAGCCTGTGACATCCTGAATTTCTTTAGCTATCTCCCTCCGCTATCAAGAAACAAAGCCCATCCAACCATTATACTGAACTCTCAACAAAAGAATGGCTGAGCAAAAGCTTTTCTGAAAAAAGTAATATTTCATCTATGACTGTAATTTCCTTTAAAACCAAGGTTCTATCTAAGCTTGATTTTACTTTTCTTTGGGTGAGGAGATGAACTAGATGTTGCTGGGGATCTGAAACCTCTTCTAATTATGGAAGGAGGCATTATCTGCTAAGAGTCTTAATTCTTGGACATCGGTAATTAAGCTCTGTGTGCCTCAGTTTATTTATGTGTAAAAGGGGTTAATAATAATACCTATTTGATAGGATTTCAATGAGGGTAAAGAGTTATGGTATGGAAAGCACTTGCACAAGTTGATTTTTCCTGAACACAGAAGTCAAGTTTGGGAGACTCCACAGAGATTGTGGGGTTCCCTATCTTGCCAAGTGACCTTGGGAGGAGGGAAGGGTGATGAGGGGGTGGCCCTGCTAAGGGATCCCTACCTCCCTTTCATTCAATCTGTGCAGCACACTTGCTTGTCTAATGGCTTGGGGCTCCATGTCAGATTACAGGTAGCAATTGCTGTTTGAAAAGAAAAGAGGTTGAAAACCATGGATCTAGTATAACCTTCCATTGTATAGAGGGGAAGACTGAGGATTCAAGATTTCTTGATCCCCATACCAATGCTTGCTCTATTATCCAGCTCTGTTCCCTCCCCTCACTTACCAAGGTTGACTGTTCTCATCCTATGGTCATAATCAAGACCCCAGTGCATGAACATGAGAGACATATAATAAGTCAGCTCTCACTTTCCAGTTAAAATGAGTCCAGATTCAATATGTTGTTCAAGGCTATATAGTAAAAAATTCATGTGAACTACAATATTGGTTTCTTTTATTCATTATTCAACATAACTTATGGAAGAACTACTGTTTTAGTCACTTTCAGTATTATTTTTATTGTATTCTCTAGGACCCTCTGTCCACCATAGGACTATAACCCCAAGGCATTAAAAATTCCCATTCTGCCCTAAGATTACTTTGCAAGGTTTTGCCTCTCTCATTCCTCTTAAAGATAAAAAAGATTTAGGACATCTTTAAGCCTTCTGGAGGGAGGGGGACCCTCAAAAATCTGAGTTGTAAAGAGGCCAGAATCTACCTTCAACTGGCATCTTCCATTTCTTGGTGTGGCTTTTTTCTTTTATAAAATGAAGATGAAAATACCCATTTCAAAGTTGACTGAGATAATGTGTCAAAAGCCCTAGGATTGTACTCAGGCCTTGCAGAAAAAATTCAGCCAATGAAATCTCTCTTTTCCCCCAATGCATACATGTGTTCCTGTTTTCCTAGGTCCCTTCAGGAGTCCACCCAGACTGCTTGGCTGTACTAAATTCTCTTTTTTCCTCAGACCCAGATGAAAATTTCTGTTTGTGTCCTCACCATACAAGGTCTAGTTTTTTGGTTGACACAGTGGCTATGTTTCCTTCCATTGGATTGTCTTTTTTGGATCCTATTATTAGGCTGGGTGAAGTAAGCAGGCAGGCGACATTGTTCCCATCCTTTAGACAATAAACTGAGTTTTAGGGAGGCTAGGTGACTTGTCCAAGGTCATGCAACTCATAGCATCCAAGCTAGAATGCAAATCCAGGTTTCTCTGACATGCAGTTCTTTGCTCTACCTGACAGCCTTTGGCTGACTCTGGTTGAAACCTTCCTCTAACCTCTCCCAGAAGGGTCAGTTGTATTTTTGTATCAGACAATTTTAATCACCTCTCAATGGGTGGTAAAAATACCGGTGAGGGAGGTCACTTCCCATAGAGGAGGCTGCCTCTGAGGCCTGGAAATGTGTGGGAGGCAGAGGGAGGCAGTTGGAATGACGTTCTGCCCCCCACACCGTGAGTGTCGAGGAGGTGGGACACATTGGGACAAGCGAAGCGTAAGGGAAGAGGGAGACTTTCCAAGCATTGCCCTATAAAAAACACAGCCGTGTCAGAGGAAAGGTTGCTTACAAGGACAAACTTGACATTTCCTTGAGTTTTCAAGGGGAAGGGCTGAGTCACCATGGAAACTCCATCACTCCTCCCCCTTCACCTCCTCAGCCCCCATAGACCTTGAGGTGTGATCTACAAGAGCACGACTGGCTCTCTGCATTCCTGAGCCCCTCACCCATCCAGAGAATTTCTTCTCACACAGGCAGGTAAGGTTCCAAACTACTGTTTTAATTTTACTACAACCCCTAAGTTTGATGTGTATGACTACTAACTTGAAATCATGCACATTAAACTTTAAATTACCAATCTCTTACTTACTCAGAGACTCATGAAACATTTCATCTGCTATTAACAGAGGATTCAACTTAAAGTGGCTTACATTTGTTTGTTAAAAGTCCTATCTGAAATAGGAAGAGGTAGGAAGTGAAGTGGTTGCAAGGTTGGTTAGCTCAGGTGCTTATCTGTAGAGGGTTAGTTTCATCTTTCATGTCACACAGGATCCTGGTCTCCAGAAGGCTACCAAGACTCAGGCTTCATTCATATTCTTTAAAAAAATATATTTTTATTGATGTCAGAGAGAAAGCGAGAGGGGAAGAGAGAGAGAAATATCAATGGTGAGAGAGAATCACTGATCGGCCACCTCCTGCACTCCCCACACTGGGGATCGAGCCTGCAACCCAGCCATGTGCCCTGACTGGGAATTGAACTATGACTTCCTGGTTCATAGGTTGACACTCAACCACTGAGCCATTCCAGCTGGGCTTCATTCACATTCTTAAACAGATGTACCCAAAGGCAGGAAGGGGAGACTTCTTCCTTGTGAGGTCTTTGTTTCCTTAATCAGGGAATACTGGTAAAGTCCTCTGGCAGATAATCCCTTCCTCTTCCTTTTTGGTCAAATTGAATCTTCCCCTTCATTCCAATACGATGGGCCAGCAGGATTGGTATTAGTACCACCAACAAGCCTAGATAAATGAAGATTCATCCCCTAGAGTTGGGAGAGGCCCTTCCAGCAAGACCAGACTGTCCAAGGGGAATACCCCTAAATGAAATTAGGGCATGGTGGCAAAGAAGGAATAGGAAATAAAGGCAGCTGGATAGATGGCCAGATATATCTTTTACAATATTGCCTAATTTTATCCAAGACCGTTGTAAAGATTAAATGAGATATGTGGAAAATATTGTACATGGATCTTTGCAGAAAGTAAGTCTCAATGTCACCTTCCACTCCTATTTTTATCCCATCTTCTCCTTGCTATTCCTTAAATTGGCTCCCAGCCTTAACCTATATTCTCTGTTTAGAATGTCCCCCCTCCTGTTGCAATAATACTGCCTTACTCTGTTCTGCTGCTCTAAAAGAATTCCATAAACAGGATATTTAATAAACAACAGAAATTTATCTCTCAGATGTGGAGGCTGGGAAGTCCAAGATCAAGGTGCCATCACATTCAAGTGTTTTGTGAGTGCACACTTGGTTAATACAATAGATGATTATCCTCTTGCTGTGTCCTCACGTGGCCAAAAGGAGAAGGAAGCTCTCTAAAGCCTCTTTACAAGGGCACTAATCCCATTCCCCAGGGCCCCATCTTTATGATAATCGCCTCCCAAAGGTTCCACCTGGAAATAACCATCATTGTGGAGACTAGTTTTTAACATATACATTTTTGGGGGAGGGAGGGGGCAACAATCATTTTGTTGATAGCAACTATCAATACTCAACAGCCTATCTCAAATGTCAAATATACAATGAAGTCTTCCTTAAATTCTCAATCCTCCAAGGTATATTTGTTTCTTGACTATGATTTTATCACACTTTGCCTTGTATTTATGTATTTTTCTGAGACTCCCTACAGAGTGAGCTTTTTGAGTCTTAGATTAGATCTCATTAATCCCTAAATCCTTTGAATAACTTCCTAGCAGGCATCACAAAAAAAATAGGTACTCAGGAAACATATGTGGAATTGAATCGAATGCGTTTTGTTCAAAGCTGCTATCCTGGCTCCACAGTTCTAGGTCTCCAATATCGGTCAGGCCTGTGGCAAATCCCTTTGTTTTTTATTGTGGTAAAATATACATATCATAAAATTTACTATCTTAACCAGTTTTACGTGTACAGTTTAGTAGCCACGGATACATTCACATCAATGTGCAGCCATCACCACCATCCATCTTCAGAACTTTTTAATCTTCCCAAATTGAAACTCTGTATCCATTAAACATTAACTCCTTAGGGAATTCTCTCTTCTCCCTTCTATTTTCCAGCAACTATTGTACTATTCTATTTTCTGTCTGTAAAAATTTACTGTAGATACTTCATATAAGTGGAATCAGACAATATTTGTCTTTTAGTGTTTGGTTTACTTCACTTAGCATAATAGCTTCAAGGATCATCCATGGCATAAGCCTATGTCAGAATTTCATTCCTTTTTAAGGTTAATATTTCATTGTATGTATATATCGCATTTTGTTTATCTGTTCATCTGTTGATGGATATTTGGGTTATTTCCACCTTTTGGCTATTATTAATAGTGCTGTTATGGCCCTACCTGGTTTGGCTCAGTGGATAGAACATTGTCCTGTGAACTGAAGGGTCCCAGGTTCAATTCTGGTAAGGGCGCATGCCCAGATTGTGGGCTCGATCCCTAGTAGGGGGCATGCAGGAGGCAGCCAATCAATGATTTTTCTCTCATCATTGTTGTTTCAATCTCTCTCCCTTCCCTTCCTCTCTAAAATCAATTAAAAAAAAGTCTTGCTTATAAGGCCAATCATTTTCAAATAATAATAATAATAATAATAATGATAATAATAATAATGTTGTTATAAACATTGGAATACATATATCTGTTCAAGTCCCCACTTTCAATTCTTTTGGGGCAAAAGTAGAATTGCTGGGCCATCCAGTAATTCTATTTAATTTTGTGAAGAACCACCAAACCATTTTCCACATTGACGGCACCATTGGTACGTTCTTTTGACTTGTCCCAGTGCCACACCTTATGAGTTTTAGCCTCAAAACTGAAATTGAGGAACCTGATTACCAATCACAAATTCCTAGGAACATGTGATTGCCCTATAGGTCTTGTGCTCATCTTGGATGAAACTTGGAGTGGGAAGCTGAGGCACAAAGACAGTGGCTTTCTTCCTTAGAGAAAGAGGGTTCATGTGGTTTCTGTAGATGCACCAAACAAGTGTTCACTGCATACACAAAATTAACACTCAGTTTGGCTACTTGTAGTTCAATGTTAAACATATGATCTCTTCTTGGCTCTCCAAGGGGGGTCTCCCATTCTCTAATCTGAAGTCCTGCCAAGAAATTGGGTTAAGGGAAACCTCAGACCAAATGTTCTTTCCAAGTCAAAATATTTCATGCACTCTAGATGCCATTCTCTTTCGAGAAGGAAGCAGAGTCCACAACTGGACAGGAGAACTGGTCCTTGGCAATGTTACAGACTGATGACAGATGACCTGTCATTACAACAACTCTGTAAATGTGTTTTGCCAGCACTCAAGGTGGGGGGAAACCCACAAAAGGAGAGGAAGAAGAAAAGGTCTTTAACATTTTGACCACTGAAGTCTTGTCATCCATCAGGACCTGGCATTCTGCCACCCACCCACTTGGCCACTACTGAACTAGAATGATGAACATAAGTCACTGTGGTTTTTCAAAAATAGAAGAAAAGAAATTTGGCTAGAATGTGCATGTCTGGGTTTCCAGATACATCTTCTTATCCAGGGAAATGAAGGTCCCAGTTCATTCTATTGTAGACCTTATTACAGGGGTTCCCAAAATCTAAGGTTATTAGTCCCCAGAGAGCACAGAAAGAACTTTGCTTGGCTTTCTCACTTTTTCTGATTATAAGTGTAGTAGATTCTCACTCTTTAAAAAAAAACCACAACAACCCAACAACATTTCAGAAATGAACGACTTAAAAAATAAGAATTCTCCATAATCTTATTCAACAGATAGAACTACTGGAAATCATTTGTCTTAATACTCTTCTAATACACACATGCTAATATAAGTAAAGATATATTTTTCCTACATACAATTATTTTTTTACCTAAATGGATTAATGCAATAATGTAGCTCTGCAATTCTTTCCTCATAACAATAAAACTCAGACATCTTCCCAGATAATTCCTGGAACTCTCACTCATTCTTTACAGCCAGCACGAGTTTCTATTGTGTGGATGAACTTTATTCAGATCCCATTTACAGCTATGCAGGAAGTGAAAAAAATATT